CACAAGTTTATCATTCTAAATACTGAATCATATTTTTTATTATGAACTAAATATAAAATTTATGCTAAACTATTGAATTTAAAACTACTAATTTAAATGCAAAAGAATATAAAAAATCACAAACTCTTTCAGTTCAAAGTGCTAAGCCTAGTTCATATAAAGAACATGCACTCGCCACTCGACAGATTTTAACCCTAACATTCGTGGATCAACTTCTTTCCTAAAAATATATATATCTATTTTGAGTTAGTTTTTCAATATAATGAGTAATATAAATAGATATACGATACAGCATGGCTTAAGCTATTATAGAAAAATAATAAACTCACGTACATCCCATGCAATTTTTTCCAGAAGTACATTTTTTTTTAAGGCTTATAAAAAGTACTATTGACCAATACTAAATACAACCTCTATATAAAATGACAGTTACTATAATAAGCACCACCCTTCATGTTCATATTGTAAAATCCAGAGAATAAAGTTTTGTCACGTGCTTTGCTTATCATCCTATGATTTGTCAAATGTGAAATACAGCAATTGGAATAACATGGTACTGAAATTGACACCTTTGACTAGGATTGGCTAAAAGCTTTACAACTGGGGTTTAACACACCCAGATGCTGTTTTATAAAGGAAACAGACTAGAAAAAGGTTTAGATACCAATCATAGATGGCAGGACCAGCACTAAATGGCAAGGAAATTTTTTTGTTAAATATTGAAAAAAATTTTTTTCTTAGAGGGAGCTTATTTATAGTTTGAAACATATTTTGGTATCTTGTTTCATTAAACTTCTCTTCAAACTTCATTAAACAATACAATTTAGTACAAATAATTGAATGTTATGCTACTATTTACAAAAATAAAATCTGAAATCCAATAAAAGATAAGTTCTCTATAATTTTTTCAATTCACAAATGTGATTTTGCCCTCATGATAAGCCAAAATGGCCCCGGTAAATAAGGGGTTAACATTCTTTTCAATAAAAACTAAGCACAGCAGAACCTCAATTAATTGGCCCTGCACCATTAAGGGCAGACCTTTTCAGTCTCTTTTTTCTACTATTTGTAACCAAAATAAATCTTGCAATAATGGGCACCTTGATATTCCAGACTAAGAGCAGTGTCTTTAGTCTCATTCTCTAAACAGACACTCGATAAAGTGGGCAGTTATCTTTGTATGCCTGTAGGGTATACCACTAAATTCCAAACATCCCACCAGCAGAATAACTAATATTCAAACACTTACAATGTTTATTGGATCGGCTTTGAATCATATACTGTAATAAACATTTTCACAAATTCAAAGTGCAATCTTATTACTCTGAGGAATTCCCATTGTAAACTCTGTGGGATACATAAGCTGATAAATTCCACATCTTGTTCTTGGAGCAGGGTTCAAGTCGACTTTTTTCTGTGTGCGTGCTTTGTTGCTCTCAAGAGTATCATATTATGGTGTCACGTAAACAGGCTAATGACACAAATTATGATTTGTTTCTTTATTTTCAGCAGATTTTTACATGTCATTGACAGTAAAATAAACAGAAAATAAATGTGAAACGTTTAGCAGTTCAAACTCTGAAGACAAGTACTTTGAAACTTTGTGACCAATAATGAAGAAAAAAGGGCACACCCCCCGAGACCTCTTGTTGACAGCGCTCCATGTCATGGCAATGTGCAACTCACGAAAACCCATGTCTTGCATACAACCAAACAAAATTAGGGGCCTTAAATTCAGAAACTTAGTGCGGTCAATATGGAATCCAGCTTTGTGTGGTTCAATTTTGAAATTAAGAACACCTTACTATACAGGGCATTTGGATGTAGTCAGAAGGGTGCCCTAAATGTCAAGGTTCTACTGTATCTAAATTTATTAAGTTTTTAAAATCAAATTGAATTACACTTTTATTCAGGTTATTAAATATTTTTATATGATTTAAGTTGTTTGTTGCAGTGAATATGAATTAAAATTTAGTTTAGCTAAAACTATAATTACTATTTCAACCTACAGGTATATGCATATCAATAACTACTGAGAATGAAAATTTGAAATGAGAGGAAGGAAGGTAAAAATAGTAAACTTAATTCTGATAAGTCATTATTAATAGTTCATTCCCTTTTAAGCTTTTAAAGAACTGTTAAAACTGTATTTTACTTTCTTTACTATCTCTTAGGCGCATATGAAAATCCTACGAATTATCAGAAATGTTTCACTACACGAAATTTTTACACGTAAAAGTCCTACTTACCAACCAATTGTTTACATACCCAAAACAACAAAAGAATTTTCAGAGATCAGCAGATATGCTGCTATTACAGATATTAAATTAATATTTCAAAAACGACCTGCATTTACTAAACAAATAAAAAACTGAATAATATTTGTCTCTAATCACTCCCAATAGTTAAATGTGTTCAAACAAATTACAATCAGTATTTTCATGCCTATATCAACTCACTGAAAGAGCAATGCTTATATTTCTAAAGTATAATCTTTTTCCAAACAAGTTCAAACTCTAAGGTTCTCTACTGTAAGAAAATACAATAGATAAAATTTACAGAATACATTTATTAATTCAATCTCAAGAATGTTATTATCACCAATGATCATTTACCTTAACTTCATCTTCAGTAGAGAAAGTGAGGGAGCAGTGATTACACTTATAGAATACGTTTCCTTTTCCAACTATTCCAAAGGCATTAGTTTCAGTACTCCAAGTAGTTGTTTCAGTGTGAAGGGAAGGACACTCTGCAATGTGGCTGGTAAGTTCTCGGACATCACCACAAGGTTGAAGACATTTTGCGCATGACCATGTCTCAGGGCCTAATAAAAGGTTCATAAGAGATATGATAAAAAGTTTTCCTGTGATTTTAAGAATAGAAAAAGATACATATTACAATCTAAAGTCTTACAAAAATCAACATACAGTGCTTAAATAACATTTGTGAAAATTTAGGGATCTTCATTTTGTGACAAAAAAAATAAACATTATGCAGCCCAGAATTTCAAATTATGCACCATAAACTGTTGAATATGCATAAAAAACACTTTAAAACAATAACATTTAAGAAAATATAAATAATTAATGCAACTCCATCATCAAAAGAAGTTTAAAACCTTCATTTTATATGAAAATAAGAACAACAAATGCACTTTTCAGCTTTAGAAGTCTTTTTAAAGACCAGTAATCAGTTTGACCTGCAGGCACCACTTGCCAAACAAGAAACAAACTGCCATAACGAAGTGAAAAAGTTATAAATCTGGTAACACTGATATAAATGTGACTAATAAGTATAGAAATTATTTAGACTTTGATTATACATTTTGTGTATATTATGTAAAATATTTCACAGTTGCATTACGATGTTAAACACGATCTCTGAAAATAACGTTATGTACAAAAGATTACTAGATGAAATAGATATCTTAATTTATCAAAACACAGATAGTATAAATGTTTCTTTTTATGTGAACATGTCATGTCACAGACACATCACCCACTGAGGTAATAAATGCTGTTTTTAAAAAGTTTAAAGGAGGAGTTAAACTGATATGTCTTTACTTTTGTGAGAGACAACATGTAGCATTGTTTGCAACTTTCCTTAACACTAAATGTTAATATTCAGTTGACCTGAATTATTCATCTACCAATACTTTAAGGGTATTGGTGATGTGTAGTATTTAAATTCTTCATTTTCTAACTTTGACATGCACAACAGTGCAACCAGACATGACAACCAATTCACATACATGTTGAAATATGAACACCAGAATTATAATGAGCATATTTAATCAAATGGAATGTCTCTGAATGCATCAATAAATTCACGTTCCCTTCTTTAACATTGACTGTTCTTGTGTAACTAAGCACTAAAGACTGCTTATGTATATAAATTAGTGTGTATGTTAATACTTTGCATGATTAATGTGACAAAGATAAAGAAATTTATGCACTAGTAATTAATTTCAAAGAGCACAAAGCTTTTTTCATAATTTACAGGAGATTAAAGAGTAAATTATTTAATCAGAAACTAGAATTATCTGAAGACAAAAATACTTTTGGTACATCAATGCTTATTTAAATTTTAGTAACTAATGCAAACACTCACCAGTGTTTTCATTTTTAATACTTTGCAATTCCAATTCATCATTACTACGGTAGATAAATCAATTACTGAGTATCAACCTATTGCTTACAGTGAACAAATTTAAGGCATTTTGAATAGTTGTCTGGATGACAATCATTAACCAGATTTTGGTTCTCCTTCCATAAATAAAATGGTTTCCTTCTAAACCTATTCTGAATTTTAACAGTGTTTGCTGAGACGGTCACACAGCGACAATATAAGATGAGAACATAAACAGAGCGATTCATTAGTTTATATTTGCAGTGACTTTTAACAATTTCACCACAACATCACGGACACAAAATTGTGTATTCCCTCACGCCTACACCCCAAAAACACTGTAAAGTGCTCATCAAAATTCCGTGAAAAAAACAACAACAAAAAAAAAAACATAGATATAAATGTTCTATGAATATTGTTTTGACAGTTTCAATGATTACCATAAACAAGTCACCTCAGGTAAAATGGTGTAATACGGTAGCGGGATAACAACCGGAATCCCTTAAAAATTCTACAATGAAAATGACACAATAACTTGCTGAATGTTGTCTACCAAGTATTCGGAGAATTTACTTCCCTACTACTGTAAACAATATACTAATATGGGTACATTACGCCTACTGTAAGCAATGAAGGAGGTTTTTGTTTACATCTGAAAAATCCTGTAAAAAAACTGTTGCATCCATTCCTATCATACAATTCTTATAGAAGAGGGATTAACGCAAGGCTTTCATTAATTGTTATTGTAGAATGAACACATATGCTACAGTAGCAATTATTTTGTGCCAAAATAAACTTAACTTTCTGTGCACTCAAAAAAAGTCCATGTATTTGTTTTATCTCAGTACTAGAGACATTTCTTCTCAGCAGCCATATCAGTGTATTTCAACTGAAAGACATTGCTATTCTTATCAACTCTCCAATGGAACTGTCAACTTCCACCCAATAAAACTTATCACACAGTAAGAAGCAGAGCAATCATCAATTGCAATTGGTTGAATTATAACACATGAAACTCTGCATTTTGAATAGGGATGTTATTAATGTGAGGACTTCTTTCATGGTACCCATTGCAGGTACCCTGGAAGGCAAGCTGCAAATCAAACTTTGTAGTACAGTGTGTGCAGCTAGAAGCAGTGCATTTATGGAAGTTTCTGTGCCAGTCTGGACTTGTGGTGTGCAGTGAGTGATTCGGGAATGTGTGTGTATTTCGGAAGCTGAACTAAACCAGCAGAGTCATTCAATATAAACATCAAAATAACATGAGAATTATCACTTTCAAGATGTTCCGAGTCCTCACCTGCAGTGTCCTGTTTGTCAAGTTTATGCCCTAGGAAAGGAGAGATTGAACCGCCATATGCTTTTGTCACATGCTGTACAAACAGGTAATTAAGCTCAAATTTTGGTGCTAGTGTTTATAACAAAAAAGAACAAACAATGCGTTAAACAAAAGATGCTATAAAAAGTAATAATGGTAACTTAAAACATTCAAAATGAGTTTTTTCTGTCATATTTTACAGGAATGTAGATGTTAATAGTTACCTATAAAATAGTAATGTTTAATATGAAAAGCAATCCACCAGGCAGATATTATTGATGGATACTATGTTGTTTATTGCTCAGAAAGTGTGCTTGTGACATTGGAACACAAGTTCATAGGCATTTTGGTTGTATATGATGGTAAAATTAGATATATTTGAAATACAAGTTTATTGTAGTTGAACATAACAGTTTTGATTCAGCCTTGCCCACTAGCATTCTGCTAAGTCAGTGAAAAAATTTTATGGTCCTCTAAGACAATCAGAAATTTTGTTGGACAACCAAATGTTACAAAATTTAGTGACTGAGGTTGTCCTTTGGACAACCGAATTATTTCAGACTTCAAAGCTGTGCATACTGCCTTGTGTGAGCATTTCAGCATTGAACCAGGGAGATGCAACAGAATACAAGAATATCATCAACAAAGTGGCGCTGCTTAAAGTGACTCCGCAAACGATTAGGTCGAGAAGTACAATAATTACAAAAACGACAAACATAAGTTTGCATATGATGGACACTTTTCATGTGGTCATGGTGATCAATAAAGTCTACAGAAGGCTGGCTGCATATGCTGCAGTAGAATGACTCTCCGAGGTTTATCACTGCAGACTCTGGAACAAGGCGAACTGCTTTATCATGGGCAATAGGGTAGTGTTCTCGCACCTCATTTAGCGTCTTCAAGGTGATTTCACAGAACCTACAGGCAGAGTTCAGAGTGGTTTCCTCTGTTACATCAGAAGGAACACAGACAAACACAATATCCTCACTAAAGTCTGCTTTAGTATTATGCACAGCAAGCTCATGAATGCAGTGATAGTGCTTCTCCAGATCTACTTGGAAGCGAAAAGAGTATTTATCTCTGCAGAAAAGGCATCTCAGAGTTGTCTCATTAGGTGAATATACTTGACGAAATAAGAACATTCCCACCAGTCTCTCTGCATTGTCAGCCTCTTCCAAAGGTAGTTCACTTTCTACTAACTGAATGGTGTTTGGAAGTTTTAATGTTGATGTATGATCTACTGTATCAAGTGTACATTCTTCTAGTTTTGGTCGTGTCTTGTATGGCCCTTTGATACCCTGAAAAACACATTTTACAGAAGATATATATATATATCTGTATAGATGTACATACACATATCAATAAACTTCTAAAGATACCCAACTTTCAAAAATGTAATAAAAATTAAACAAAGGAGGAATAAAATAACATTAATAGTAAAAAAAAATATTTTAGGTAGTAAGAAAAATTATACAGTTGGTTACAAGTGATATTTTTGCATAATGTCTAGAGTAGACCATTATAACATCTTCATAACAATCTGGTGATGGTTTAAACACGCACATCTTAATCTCTTTCTTACGTTATGGATGAACAACAATTAATTTAATAACCAGAAGGAAATGCTTTTTTTATGTCTAGTAGTTAGGCCTAAAGTGACAAATATTTTTAAAGATATCCTGAAACCCAAATTCTTGCCTAATAATTAATTACATATCCTAATTTTAATTACTACAGAAACATTATTTTACCTGGTACACTGATAATCACACTACAAATCTAGCTTATTGATTGGAAAAAATATAACCTTTTTAGATTACATAACACTCTTTAAATGTTGCATTTAAGGAAAACAGACTTTAATAAACAAAATTATTTATTTTCAAACTCCACACTTTAGAAACCTTAATCTTTTCTCACTGGGAAATATAAATCTTTTTAAATACTAACTTTGAAGACTTATCCCTATGCACTCATCTATCCCATTAAAATTAATTCCTCTTAATCAAACTACTTCACAAAACAAACTTTCAGAAAACATACACTTGTAACAGATAAAACAAAATTAGATGAGAAACTATAAACACTGTGGCAGGACTATGAATTAATATAAAGCATTGATAATTAATTATTAAAAATATCAGACTGCTAGTATTTCATTTAGCATCTTGTAACAACAAATAGTAACTATGCATGTTTTTCCTGGCCTTTTCTTGGCAGTACATTCATTTACACCCACACACATTGTTGAAAATAATCACTCTCTGTTCATTTACTTTGAAAAGCAGCAACAAAACTTTATTTGATGAAATTTATTAATAAACACTACCTTCTACATCACAATAATCTATTACAAGATCACTTATAGCTACTAGATGCATCAAATAACATCTACTACAAGATTTTCTTTCAACAACTTTTGAATGCTCTATATCAGCCTTATGATCTATTTAGTGTGCTGACAGTAAGTTGTGAAAGTATACTGATGATAAAAATTTACTTGTAAAGCTAGCTGTTATCAATATAAAAACAAACCTTACCTGTCCAAGATCTCCTCTTTTTATTGCTTCCAATTTACTGGCAGCTATGTCTGCAGCTTTGACGGTGTCTGTTCCTCTAACCTCCACAATGCTAGAATCAGGCATTACCACAAATATCCTATTTTGTCTTCTTCCATGCCAATTAGTAGCCCCTTCTTCTTCTGGTGGCAAGCCCATTCTTGATGTCCAAATACTTCGCTGGATCAAAGATGGATATTTTGGTGGCCTTCCTCGTTTTCTTTTTATAACAGGTTGTTGGATTAACTCTTCCGAATCACTTTTCTGACCTGGAGCAAACTGAGCAGCATCACCAAAGAACTTGTAATCTTTTGAAATATACTGTGGATATTTACGAGGTCTTCCTCGTTTTCTCTTTAACAATGATGCTGGTGTTCCTAAACGTTCTTGGGTATTTTCTGACAATCCCTCAGTAAAATCAACTGCCTGATTTTCATCCATAGTAGTGGGTTGAACCACACGCATGATTGACTCTGTTTTTGGTGGTCGTCCTCTTCTTTTGTGAGGTCCAATGATGACATGCTGTCGTCTAATACCACCTTGCAGTCCCAGTCTTCCTCTGCCTCTCCTTTGGCCTTGAGCTAAGCCCTGAACAACAGATATCATCACAGGTCCAGAAGACTGTGTTACTAACCTAGTATTACCCTCTGCATTTGGTGTCTCATCTAGTGTTTTTTCTGACTCTCCTATCCCTACCATACCACTACGCCAAATTCCTACTCCACGTTTTAATCCTCTAACTCTTCCACGTCTACCTCTACTGGTCCATAACCCTCTTTGAGATAGACCAACACTTGTTCTAAAGTCACCTACACCACAGTGAGAAATTCTACCCAAAAAACTAGTTCTAATTCTTGGTCTACCTCTTCCACGAACTGTTATCCCATGAAAAAAGCTACGAGGTTGATTTTGGAAAAAGGATTTAGGTTTTCTTCCAGGTTTCTTTTTCAGAGAATCAGGAAGGTTTTGTATGTTGTAAAACATCCGTAGGCGGTCTAGTTTGCTTGGGAAATTTCTCATTCCACGATATCTTCCACTGTGACCAAACAAACCAGATCTGTAGCTCTCAGGTAAAAGAAAAGAAAATGGTTTTCTATGAAAGTTTTCCAGTAACTGCAAACTATTCACCATTGGTTCTTTCTTTTGTAAATTACTGTCTTCATCAGATTTATGTTGAGAATCATTTGAGATAACCTCATAATCTTCATCTTCATCCTCCCATTCACTGCCTGATGAATCTTCTAAAAACCGTCTATGAAGAAGTTTATTTTCATTATCAGCCCAAATTCTTTCCAGTTTTTTTGTGTTTTGAATCCTGCGACACACAGATTTGATAAAATTTCTTGCAGCAAGACTAGTGGAACGTCTACTTCGACCCTCACTTTCTGAAGAAATCAGCTGTTCTGTATCAGTGATGCTTTCTTCTTTTGTACTTGTTACTGTGTTTCCATTTTTATCAAGCTCTTTGAATCTGAAACTTTCATTACTGTCCCCACCCAATGATGAATTATTTGCTTTAGATATGGAAGTTGAATTAAGCAATGGTTTCAATCCATGAAAAGATTTCCGTTTTTTCATTATTGATAGTTTTTGTTTCATTTTTGTAATTCGTCCTCCTTGAAATTTTTCTGTATCACTTTTTCTGGGCCTCCCAACTTTTCTGCTTCCTTTGGGACGACCTCTACCTGGTTTTTTCTCCAACTGCTGCAAGCCAATTTGCTTGTAAAAAGTGTTCTTTTTTACCATTATTTCTTGTTTGCTATCTTTATTTTCATTTTCTATCATGGTATCATCAGACATAACAGCTTTAGGATTTTGATCTGAATCTTGTGTTTTGGATGGCTCTCCTACTTCTTGGTCGACTTCCAAATCAGTGTTTTTTGAAGCTTTAAACTTTTTCCATGCAGATTTTTTTCTTATTAGTTCCCTGATTTCTTGTTCAACATCAATGTTTTCCTGAGTAGTTTGAGGTTTAGGAGGTTGGATTTCTTCAAGAGTAGTACAGCTTTGATTGGCTGGTTCCTGGACTTCTCCATTCTCTTCAATTTCTTTTGAAGATTCCTAGAAAAAGACAGTATAATAAAGCTCAAGTGACGTGCTTCAGTGGAATCCAAAACTTATTGACATTTTAAAACTGATTAAAATTAAGTTTTATACAAGAAAAATTAAACACAAAACAAAGTTTTAATTCACTTAATAATCAAATAGATGAATTCTAATAGAACGACTCAACAGATCTGTAATAAGTTAACTAACCTCCACTTCTAGTTTGATTATTTTAACAACAGGTTCAGGAGATGATGACTTCTCCCTCGGGCGTTTTGTTGCTGTCTTGGTAACACTGCTAACAGATACATTAGAAGCTATTTCCTCCTTGTCTTTTTTGTTGGATATTTTGATGCTTTTGGAAAGATGGACAGGAGACTCAACCTTATCTTTGAAATTCTTAAGAGGAGTTTTTGTCATTTTACTAGCAGGTTCTAGGGAAGTCCTCTCTCTTGTTTTTCCATCTACAATCTTTCCTTTGCCTTCACATTTCTTCTGATTCTCAAATTCTTCAATCAAGTTCTTACTGAGGATATTCTCTTCTGGTTCCCAGCAGTTTTCAGAACTAAGCAACATTTTTACAGATATTAATGATTTAAAAGATAACCAGTACATTTTGCAATTAACCAAAATTGTGAAGTTCCAGTGGATATCAACAGCTTTCCCAAGTTTAACATAAGTACAAAAGCATGAAATAATATAAATGTTAATAGTATTTTAATGACTGAAAACAGATTTTCCCACAATAATCAGGGTTCACACAGACTTTAAAAAAGGAAATTCCAAGACTTGTTCTCAAATTTCCAGGGCTCTAGAATCCTGCCATTCAGGATTAATATTTAATTATCCAGATGTTTCTGTCCATCAAATGTACCCGCCAGTGGAAATTGTAACAGTTTAAGTCCCAATGAGGTAATTTTCTTTTGTTCTTGTGATTTGTTAAAATAAAGTGACTACTTTATGAAGAACGTTTTTTTTTAATGAAACTGAAATTTCCAGCACATGTCTTAAAAATAGCCATTTTCCCATGATTTTCAATAATGAAATTGTCATAGCTCATTTTCCATGACTTTCCAGGATTTCAAGGACCCGTGTAAACCCTGCTTAATGTTTCTTAAACTTATTGCAGAACAACAGTTCATATCCACCTTAATTGAGGTTCATAATTTATTTTCTTACCTTACATCTTACCCTCAGAATGGTGCATTTTTCCATGTAACAAAATCTTAGATGAATCAAAACCTCATAGTTCATTCACAATGTTAAATACTCTGGCTAGTATTAGAATATATATTAACAGTACTATTTTTGATATTATTAGATATGAATTTTGTAAAAAGTAGTTTATAGTAAAATACACAAACATTTTTATTAATTTTAGATTATTCAATTTATCTAACTCATTACAAATTAATTGTTCCTGGTGTGGCAGGGTGATATGGTGTCCCCCATTTTGTTTTATTCTCACACTTAAAATACTTAACCTAAACGCATGAAATTTGGTACACACTTTCTACATATCTAGTTTGTGTTTGAAAATTATTATATAACTTGGTTTAGTATTTGTATAATATTTTAGTAGTGACTTTCAGAAATTTTGTTGTGAAATGTTGCTATTAAAAATACTTTCTTTTGTCTAGTTTCTATTTTTTTTATGTGTCTAAAATAATGTAAATGTAATCAAAATTTTTTCTCAATATAACTATAATTGTTGCCTGTATTGTTCTGATAACAACATACTAATTTTATCTTCTATTCATACAAGCTCTTACATAAAATAAACATAACTACTAAAACAAAAATATGATGGAAAGAAAACTGGATTTTTTTATATTACTGATCAGAATTCCATTTTATATATCCAGTGAATTCTGAACTGTTTTATTTTCATATCTGTTATCTATCTTTTAATCTATTCAAGCAGTTATGTAGCCACAAGTATAGCATAAAACACTGAGGAACAGTAAATGCATTAACTAGAAACACAACTAGTGCTCATATCCTAGGCCTACACTGATATAGGCAATAGTTTTCCAACTATATTTTTTTGGCCAAGTTCAACTTCTTTTTAATAATTATCACTTATTTTCAATAACTAAGGAGTTCTTGTATGTGTTATTTGAGTAACATTAGCTTTACTAATACATGCAAATAAAAAAATCTTGGGTCAACTGAATAGTTTGCTCTCAAAGCTTACCATACTCACTAACCCTAAATATCCTTTCCCAATGTCTTCTCATAGAAGAATATTCCTGTAGCTTTTAAACAGATATAATATAACACGGAAAAGATATTAAGAATGAAAAGACTGTGAAAAGAAACAAGACATTTCCAAGGTATGTTTCTTGTTCCTTAGTTATGTATTAGAATTCTTTGTTTTCCATTCTGGGAACTTTCCCTAATCACGTTCTCAGTTAATGAGTATAAACTGATTTGCTATTTCGACATACCTTAAAAAAAGTTTGTGTTAAGAAAGACATGTAGAATTAACTACAAAAATTATCAACCTTAGTGTCTAAAGTAATGACTTTGTTTACTTCACCAAAAAAAAAGTTTATATATTTCCACTTTTTCTGTCTATCTGAAAGCTTCAAGTTTGGTTTACACAGAGAGGATAATCAAACCAATGATTTTTTTCTCTAAAATTAAGGTGTGCAATTCTAAGCTACCTTTAACAATTTTTTACACTGTTCCAAACACAAACATACCACCAGAAATAATATCTATTGCTCATAGTTTTACAAAATTAAGTTTAATTTCAGAAATAAACAAATTAAATAAGTTTTATTAATCTAAGCCTAAAAACCTGAAATACATATTCACGTGGTTACAACACCTATTTGAGTATACGAGAACAGCTTAATAACCAATTCAAGATGACTTTCCCCATTACCTCTTGTGATGGAACTTTTATAACTTTACATGGCTTTGCTGAACAGAAGTTATAAATAAACTTATAATTCTAAATAGTTGTATAAAACTCTGCTGAATTACTTGGTATTCCACTTGGTAGCCCTTACATTACTTACTTTGGGTACCCTTTCCATTTTAACAAATACTCGAGCTGTCCATTGTGGAACCTCTTTCCAAGTACTTTTTCTACCTGATACACACGATTAATCTGTAAAAAAATACAACTTGATAGTAAACTTTTATGTCCAATCTGTAACAATGCTAAGTGTATCACATTCAAGTAACATATGGCATTAATAATGTTTATTTTTATTACAGTTAGTAACTTGTTGAATATTTAGGTTTTTACACATTCTAATCACTTAATAATTGGCCCGGCATGGCCAGGTAGTTAGGACGCTCAACTCGCAATCTGAGGGTTGTGGGTTCGAATCCCCATCCCCTGATACATGTTTCTAATGAATTGGTACTCTTCTATTTCAATTTTAGAACTTGATTGCAGTAGTAAAAAGGTGCTGTCATTTAACTACTTTGGTTGGTTATTATTCAGTATAAAAAAAACGAATATGTAAAATTAAAATTTCAAAATATGTGCACAATTCAATTTAAAGTTTGTTTGAAAGCAGTTTTAAAAAAACAAACTCATCTGGTGGCTTAGGAATTAAATATGGTTAATAAATCCTAATTTATTTAAGAAATGATACATTCATGTTATACAAAACATCTATTGGCAAATGCCCAAACTTCAAAATATTTCATATTATTTATAATTCAGTTGAAGACAGTTTATAACTAGATATTTCCTAGAATCTCACTGATATTGCTCACTACACAGCTTAATGTTACACTTGTCTATAATGAATGTTTGTTCAGTTGTAATTGAAACTATAGAAGTTGCACTCCTTATCTTTAGTGTTTACTTACTGCAGGTAAGGCTTTGTATACTGAAAATACCTTTTTACTCGAGGGTGAGCAAAAATTAAAATTTCCTTTTGCTAAACAAGTCAGTGAAACTATGAAACCAAAATCTTTCTTCAGCTCATTAAATAATCTTTAGAAAATATATATATATTACTATTTACATTCACCAACACAAAGATTTTGAGCACTCTTAGTTAAAACTAATACTGATTAGCATTTTTGTACTACGTCAAAGCTTAAACAAAACAAATGTAGTGTTATGCATTTTACATAATTATTTAGAATTTAAATTATTTTATGTTGTTACAATAGGATATACAGGTTTAGAACTGTAACTGTGTTGTACTAGAAATTCTTTGTAGCTATAAAAAGCAGAACTTCAGCCAATTGTAGTTAACACTTTTGGGAGCCAGAGTAGTGAAGTGTATAGTAGTTTACTTTTTATCTCTGCAATAAATTACTTAAGTTTCATACCTTAATCTCTTCCACGGCTTGCCTGAGATAACTTAGGTACCCTCCATGTTTCAAAGAATATTTGCCCAGTTAATTTGATCAAACCATTTTTCACCATATTATAAATTATTTGTCCAAACTTGTTTGCACGTTTATCATGTATTACAATTTGGTTATCAAAGAATGAAACAAAAGAAGCTTGACCTTTTTATTTTAGTTCATTTCCAAAAACAAAAGCCTGACATAAAAGGTGTTCATAAGTTTCTAATTCACTTATTCAACTCACACAAAGAATTACTTTAACAATTATTGTGAAAAGTTACAAGTTGTGACATAAATCCTTTAAAAAACACCTACTGTCAATTCTGCACACAATTTTAGCAAACACTTCTTCTTCATCCTACCTGGACCACCAAATTTCTTCTTATCCTAAAAAGAAAAGAACCAATTGTACACAAACACCAAAAAATTTAAATAACAGTTGTAACTTTGTTGAAATCCAATAACACTACCTAACTTATACGCACTATATATATATATATGGACATTTACTACATATACCATATGTAAAGTACTGTGATAGTGCAGTCATCAAATATCTCTTGAATGAGTACAAATAAAACATCACTTATATACAATAATCCATGAGCCTTATTGTACTTAAAATCAAATAAATTATAAAATAGTACTGCGGAGGAATTACAGAAGAACTTCAATTGGTATCCTTTAATATAATACAATATCAAACTCTTTGCCTTTAATTTTATACTATCCTTTTAATAATAATATCATCTAAAAGTAATGATGAGTAATTTACATTAAGTTCCATACTTCTCAGAGGGATAGTAAACGCACTTGAGAAGGGGGGAAGACTTAGAGAGCAAATGTCACAATTCTCATTCTAGGAAAGATAGAGGATTTTTTTGAATATTTCTTTATAAAATTAAGAAATTAAAACTTATATATTATTAAAAATTGATTTGTTAACTATGTTTTGATGCCAAGTATATTTATATACAATGATAATAAAACAGTTGAATTAAATTTTGAATGAAACTCTCTAAAAAATCGTCTGTCTGTAGCGAGAGGGTTAATTAGAAATGTGATACGTTGTTTTAAAAGTAAAGGTATTTGTTCATGAAATGCAAAAGATCCAACAGTGTCTACATGAAAGAAATCCACTCACCAAACACATGACACATTCACCACAGTCTTCCTGACGTAAACAACCTTCACATTCTCCACAGAATGGCTTGGAACTCTTCTGGGGCACTCCAGGTGACCTTGTCTCCTACCAGTCATAAAGAAAAGCATGTTTATCATACAGACTATAAAAGCTTTTAGCTGTCATATATACATATATATGTGTGTGTGTGCATTCACAGAGGTTTTCTTCTAAGTTTGAAATTATTTCACACATCAAAAAATAATAAAAAGGACTAATTCTGTTATATCATAAAAATCTACACAGTATTCACTACTGAAATTTTATCACAACATAATTGCACATATCAACTATTGAGCACCATTAAATGCAGATTGTGAGGGCCTGTACCACTGACACCTTTTCATAATGATACTTTTATTTTGCACTCCTGTTTTAAGTCACCAACACTAGCTTCAGTTAAGTTAATTGCTTTAAATGACCAGTAAAGTGCCAAAATAACACAAAGGCATTGAAATTTTCAATATGACTAAAAGTAACAAAAATAATTAAAAACAAATCTAGAATTAATTAAAATAACTGTTTTGCATAAACAAACAAAACAATAGCTCATAGTTCATAAAATCAATGGCTTGAAGGACATTTAATAGAATATTTTATTTAACTGGGAGCTTAAAGTCCAAATAAAGAGATTGGATGTTCAAGAAAAACATCCAATTAGGATGATAGTGACATTCCTAGAATATCAACATGAAACTGATCCAAAACATTCTTAGTTTCAAATTAAGAAATACATAATATCTATGAAGTTGGAATAAACAACAGAACTATTTGGTTAACATGGAAAAGTGCAACCAAAAAAGTAGAATATTACATGAGAGAATAAATCATCCATTTAAACTTTGCAGTTGTAAGAGCAACAGATGCTAAAAACTCAGAACATTTTCAATATAAAAGGTCAGGTAATTTTTTTGCTCTCTGTTAGTTTTGTTTTCATCCCCTAAATGACACACGTTATGATTTATTAAATAAGAAACAAGGGGCATATTCCCTAAAAAAAATAAATAAATGACAGTTAAATACAAATGGTTACTAGTGGTACCTCTTATTGTTAATTAACACTAAAAGTTATATTATGGTTTGTAAGTATTCTAAATCTGAAATCCACTACAAATCATAGCCCTCGCATACTTGAAATTCTCTGGAGATGTAAACATCAGTATAGGAATATGTGTGGGTCTGTAATAGTGTGGGAATGTTTTCTGCTCCAGGAGTGAGAGATATTGCCTAAACTGATGGTAATATGAAGAGGTATCAGTATAATACATGGTTTTAATACAATGATGATGTCAGAAAAACACGTTGGTTCAAGAAGTCTTGACACAAGATGATAAAATCCCTATAACCCGAGCATTTTTTCGAAAGATGAACCTTTCTTCTCCCAGTTGCTCCAAAGAAGATAAGTCCACTTTTCAAAAATGCTTGGGTTATAGTCTTTATTGTCTTGTTTTAATACAAAATAACCATTGAATGATGTATAATTAGCTTCTTCTTTGCATTTTAGCAGGATAATGATCCAAAACACATTGTCTTACTAGGTACAAGATTTTGGGGGGAGAAGGACAGAGTTAATGGTATGAAGGTTATGAAATGGTCAGTCTAAAGTTCCACTAGTAATCCACAATCTAGAGAAAAGACGGAAATGAAACACCAGTTTACCTTCCCAAAAAATTACTAGTACCTATAACTAACTGAGGTAGTCGTAACATTAAGAGTATAGGAGACTATACTCAAATTCTTATGCCTTTTGCAATCACTTAAGAAAACTTAAGGTATCAAGGTTATGAAATGGTCAATCTAAAGTTCGACTATTAATCCAAATGAAAATTTTTGGTGCCAGTTTATAAAAAGACATGTATGTTATTGAATTTAATTCAAACACAAACCATAAGCACAGGTGTTGATGAAATTTTCCGAGGAAAAGAAATACCCATTTTTGACTTAATTTTTTCTTGCTGTAATGCCAACATCTTTGGGGTTAACTTAGAGATTCTAACTTGGCGTTCACTATTGATCGAACTTTTCACATCATTATTCACAGATGAAGACTCTTTCATGCCAGCTTTCAAAGAAGGAGATCTCTTTGCAGCATCAGTTGCAGTCTTTTTCATCGAAGAAACTGTAACTGAAGGTTTTTTGACAGTATGTGATTGGACCATTGTTCTTTCAGGTAAGCCTTCAGCTTTAAGTTTCTGGCTACTGTTGTATTTCTCTGCTTGAATAAAAACAGCTATATTAATAAATATACATAAACTTGCAGATCATTTGTTCTGATTAAAGATATTTATAATGCAAACAAACATATAGTTTCAGAGTGTTTCAAAGATAGCTAGATAATACATCTACTCTTGTAGAATGCTTTTATTTGGGCGTAGTGTATTGACTTGAAATGCAAGTAATATAGAATAAATTCACACAAAAGTTGTATTCTATGAGTTTACATTATAGGATATTATAAACACTAATGTATAAAAAAAATAACATTTTGATTGTATAATGGATAGTCATTTCTTTTTTTGTGACAGGTAAGTATATACATAAAGTATCATCCTAGGCGAATGTAATACATTTATACTAAATTACACATCAGCTATCTTGTACACTTTCTTGTCTCAACCATCTAAACTGTCTTGTGGTAACATTAACCCTTTCGAGATGGGTCACGAGTGAAAGGCCATGTCATCTCGTTTGTTGACTCGCATTCAAACTTTTATTGAACTACTATTTCATGAATTTTCGTCAATAAGTGCGGTATCCAACTGTAGATTATAATTCAAATTTTAGTACTATATATTACTCAATTTCTTAATTTAAAAGCAAATATTAAAAAACACAGATAAACATTGATTTTTGTGTGTCACGTGGTATGTTGAATGCAGCACTGGTTCAAACTAGATGTTTGTGAATTCAAAAAACTACGTCTATAGTTTTGAACGAATTAGAAACTCAAATTACTGTTATTGACAAGCTAGAATATAAAATAAGAAGGTACCTTTTCTGTTTGCTAAGATATTGCTCATGTAATAAACCAAACACGGTGGCACCCTGCCCACCTCTTTCCATTTTTGAAAATGTTCCCTTATATACACTTACTCTTATATATGACATGAATAACCAATTGGAAGCTCAGCCATTTTAACAGGCTTGGATGCCATTTCTTTCTTTTGAATCAATATTTCAACAAGGTAGGGTGTGTCTTTAGTCTGCTCAAAATTCCAATTTTTTTTTGGACTAAAATACATCTTAGTTAATAAACTTGATAAATTATAGTGGAATTCTATGGTATTAATGTAGTAATTTATGATTCTTTAGTTATTCAAATGTATGTATAAAACCTATAAAAA